TAGCACAGAGAGAAAAAGTAGAGAGAAAAAGCAGAACAGAAAAAGTCTTTAATCCGATTAGAAAGCACTGGACAGAGTTGCAATTACTAGACTTCAATACATTTTCATCTTGTATAAAATATTTATTTTTTAAAATTATAATGTTTCAGGCCAGCATGCGCGCATAATTTTTTTAAATAATATTGGGAGAGGGGAAGGGATAAAGGGCGAAAAGAATTTACACTATTGATAGGGTTTGAGTCTTTTGATAGGAAAGGACAAAGTTGTATTTTTATTTTTTGCCTGTCTTTTATTCTTTTTTCCTTTATAATAATAATAATTGAGTTATTGATATCGTCTAATTCAAGACAATTATTACTGTAGATCTTGGTAATATGATTAGAAAGTGAATTTTGACAATCGATAAAACACCATTTTTAACAATCTAACTAGCCAAAATTAAATACCATATGTTGGTTGCATAATCTAACTTATTCGCGCGGTACTATATATATAGATGGAAGACATCAGTGAATGTACAAATAATCTTCTTACAAATTTAGTCGAGTTGGAGGAAATAAAATTAACATATAAAGTTAATTCTATTTATCGATGAAATCACAGTCACTCGATTTTCTTTAGAAAACAAGAAAAATACATGTAGCAAGACATCACAGTAATATCAAATTTAACCAAGCTTCTAAAATCTGCTTATTTTAAAAAGTATTTTTCTAAAAAAAAAGTAATTTTGATGATAAGCAATTTGCGTTTCACTAATTAATTTAAAAAGCACTTTTGTGTTTGGCCAAACTTTAAAAAGTGCTTCTAAATGTATTTCGCTCGAAAGTACTTTTCAAAAACGTATTTTTTGGGAGAAGCTATTTTTTTCTTCTTCTCAATAATTACTTCTGCTTCTACTCAAAAACACTTTTTTCCTTCTAAAAACTTGTCCAAACACTTTAAAATTGAAGAAAAAAAAAACTTGACCAAGCAGGCTATAATTTGGCTTTGAGGTAGGTCTAGGGGTGTCAATAGATCTTTAAAAATCGATTAAACTGATTGTATCGAACCGTACTGAATCGGTTGTGAGGTTTATTTTAATAAAATCGTATGATTTTATATAAACTTATAACGGTACCGAATAATAGGGTAGGTTTTTAATTTTGAAAAATCAAACCGAAAAAATATTAAACTGTGCCGAGTAATTCTATATATGAAAGATATATTTTATATACTAAATTTAAAACTAACAAAGAAGCTCTTTTTCTTGGGTCCTGGGATTAGGGATGTACATAGGTCGGGTTGGTTCGGATTTTATTATTATCAAACCAAACCAATTGTGACAGGTTATTAAATCTAAAGACCAAACCAAACCAACAAAACTCAGGTTTTTCAATCTCGATTTTTCTCGGGTTATACGGGTTTTTTTCGGATTTTTTTTCCGGTAAAATCTTCGTAGAACAAAACATATAACTTATGCTCAAAATATTTTTTTAATCCTAGTAAGATACAACTATATAAAGTATTTTTCCAAGAAAATAATACAAAATATGATATGTGTCATGGCATTATCCTAAACTATTCAACAATAAAGACAATAAAATTATGTAATATAAATATTGCTAATTAAAAAGTCATAATAAAAATAAACATAATCTAAAAGTACTAAGTCATGCTAAAATAAGTAGACTAATAAGAGGGTATTAATTACATGACTAAACGCTAAAGAACAAAATAAAAATAGTTTATACATTTTTATCTAAATTATTGCAAAACAAAAAATAGATATTCAATACATTCCCGTTCTTAGTATTGAATTGAATGTCTTTTGTTAGCATTAGTATTGATCTGATTTTGGTTTGGGCTTTTGTTAGTATTATTTAATTTACTAATATTAATGGCTATAAAACTTATTGGAACATTCAAAAATTCTAAGTCCAAACTTGAAATAATACCTTAAAAGATAAAATTATGAAATTTTTTAAGAAATATTTATAAATTACATCACAATAAGTATATTTATATATTAAATATATCTAAAATTTCTATATATGTAATGTCAGGTTGGTTTGGTTTCGGTTTGACTTTCTTTAGTTAAAACCAAACCAAACCAAACCAATTATGGTCGGGTTTTTTTTCCAACACCAAAACAAATCAAACCAAACCATAGTCGGGTTTTTTTCTCGGTTTGACTCGGATTATCTTGTTGGTGCGGTTTTTCGGTTTCCTTTGTATACCCCTACCTGTGATTATGGAAACTGCTACAAATGACAACTAATTAATATCCAAGGTCCTAACTTCCAAACCTATTGTACTACTTATATCGAAACTAAATTAGTTCTAATATCTTGAGTAACAAGCCATTAGGTATTCCAGTGATTTTCAGTAGCAATCCACAAGACATCTTTCCTCTCGTATAATTTAAATTTCTCTTGTTGGGTACTAATCTTTTAATAAGCTCTATTCTTTAGTCCCAACTCGATTAGTATCTTTCCACTCGTATGATTTATATTTCTCTTGTCTTTGTTTAATTTGTTTTGCGTTGTAATAGAATAGTGGGATGAATCTCTATTCTAGATATCTTTCATGTTCATTTGATCATCACTTTTAAAAGAGTAAAAATATCTAGAGAGTTTCGCCAAAGTCCTATGCAAATACACATTACTGCATTCTAAATTTAACTAGCGACTCTTGCATGACATTTTAAAGAAAATACCGAAATATTAACTGAACCGGACCAATAACGAAGAGAAACCGAGATGATTGGGACGATTTTGAAATGTCCAATTTTGGTTATGCAAAATGAAATAACCGAAAATTTAAAATGGTACAAATTTTATAAAATAACCGACCAAGCCGAACCATTGAACCCAGGTGGGTCCCTTGTCAACAGTTATCATTTATTCTTCTTCATTTTATAAACCCAATAATTTGTCGTGACAGATAAAAATATTCACAGGGGTTAAAAATATGAAACAAATTCTTAAGCATGTAAAATGCTTTTCATCAATTTCTGTATATATTTAACTTGATGCACGAGTATGAAATACGTCATTCAATTAGTCATAATCAAGAAAGGTGCAATGAAAAGGGGAAAATGGCACGTTGATAATAATGAAAATTAATTAATTGAAAGCAGTTTTAATAAGCAAGTAAACGAAAAGAAGCTATAATTGGAAAATTGGTTGGTAGATCTGCAATTCAAGTTTTTTCCATCTACATTGGAAAAGAAAAATCTGTGATGTTGATGTACCAACAATTAGGAATAGAGATGTTGCATTTATTTGATTTTTTCCCTTTTGTAATACTTTTTCTTTTCTTCATTTTTGGTGTTAAGTGATTGATGGTATGCCAAACTCATTATTCTTTCCTAGATATGACATGTGTCATGTTTTGTAAGATATTTTTTTTGTTCTAGAACATCCTAAAAATCATTCTACTAATAAAATTATAATATGAAATTTTTTATTCTACTGAGTATAATGAACGTTAAAATGTTAATTTGACTTGCATATCATATTAACCATAACGAAAAAATAGTAAAGTTCTGTTGAAAAATTAATTTTACAGATAAAACATCATGTCAAAATTGCATTTAGGTATTTTGAAGAATCTAAATTCTTAAAAATATGATAGTAGTATAAAAACAGAGTAATTCAGACAGTTAGTAATATCTCGAAGTGAAACGCTTAACAAATAAGTTGAAATCGGCTAGTACTTTGTAACTTTTATAACTTTAGAGAATTCAAATTCGTATAAATGCTCAAATTTTACATATTTCTATGATTCAAATTAGCTATTTAACCGTCAATTAAATTGTTTTTTAGTACTATTACTATATTAGACTTTACATCTTAAAACTTATGAGTCAAACAAGAAGTGTGAGTTTATATTTGAACATTCTAAAAATTATTTAGTAGATTAGCATTAGATCACAAAACCAACTCTTATCTCTATAGAAGAAAACTAAACCTTTTATAGTGGTGGGTTGGTGTCTGCCCAAGCTTAAACATTGAACTTTTAAGCGGCTGATTTACACAAATGTTCCTTTTTAGATTACTATTTAAATCATGTACCTATTTTTAATAGTTGTGCAAATATTGCCCTTGAAAAATTATTCTTCCAAACAATATTAGATTCGATTCTAATGTTTACTCATGTATTCTCAACTTTATAGACAAAACATTAAACCGTTGTCTAAAAAATCCATAAATTGCAATATAAATAAAAAGAGGATTATTTACTAAACAACTGTCCCAAAAAGATAGCTAGCAAAAAAAATGCTTTTAAGCTACCCTTCAATTGAGTAAAAATAGCACGGGCTAATCAGTTTTCGGACTGGTAATCGAAAAATAGCCAGCGTTTGCAAAGTCATTGAAAAATTGCCACTGTTTTGCTGAAACACGGAAAGTTCCAGCATAATATGCGAGATTATGGAGCTCCTACGTGTAAACTTCCAGCATATTATATTGGAACTCCAGCACATTATGAAATTCCAGCATATTATGCTAGAATATTTTCGAATTTTGAGGGTAATTTTGTTCAAATTTTATCTTTACATGAAAATTGACTAAATTTCATGTAAATCTTTGCTATTTTTTATTTTGTTCCCTGCGATAGACGATAGCGAGGAGAAGTCCTTTGCTCTTTTTTTCCCCTCTTCAAGACAAGTCCTATATGGAAATATGTTTTGAGTTTTATTCATGTTAAAGACAATGAATTATTTCTTTCCTTCCATTTTTAATTATCCAAAAACAAATGCATTAATATATCTTTATATCTCAGCAATCTACGTTATTAAGTTTAATATCTTTCCTCAAGCCAAACATTTTCCTAAACCAGAAGAAAATGAATTATGTCAAACTTTAAACAAGCGTAGCAAGCAATGTATCAGAGCCTTCACTTCTATTTCTGAACTTAGCAGTCTTTGAATATTCGATAATATCTCTGTGTATCGTCCAATCAAACCCGGGCATAGGCGCATAGCTGTACAATGCCAAAATGGCTCAAGAGATGCATCAAAAGTGAAACAAGCAAATTCATTTGTATTCGGCTCTTTGTGCATATATGCATTTTCCTAATATATCGATGAAATATTCCACTTGACAGTAATCTTATTCCATAATACATGTACAAGAACAGTATCATTTACACAAGCTACATATTTTGATACAAAAGAATGCTGCCTGTCCAAAGATGTTCTTATATTTGATTTGAAACCCTGTAGTAATTTGTCAAAGTCTTCCCATCCAACTCCTTTGAAAAGAATCTTCTCATATAGTCCATGAACACGAATTCCCGATAAACTGCTGGTTTTTCATCTGATATTAGTTCAGGTAGAGGTCCAAATGAGTTCTCTCTTTGGCTTGGGTTAAAGAAGACAGCAACTGATACGCGTGGTTCTTGAAAAGGGTTAGCCAGAACTCTGTGCTCCACACTTTTGTATTCGTCATTCGATATTATCTGCAGTAGCGGAATCGATTAATCATGAAACATATCGTTTTAAGGAAATGCGAGAAGCACAAAAAGATGAGCATTGAACCAAACTATGTTTAGGGAAACAGCATTAGCAAAAGCAAAAAGTAGCATACAAAGAGTTGTTCTTGACAGACCATTTTGGTCTAAGTTGAGTCTACCATTTGGTATTATGGATAAGCAAAAATAATTTTGGGATAAAAATGTACGACTGCCTTATCCCTTTCTTTGTTACTAATCCTGGGATTGGTTATCCCAGAATTAAAAATGGTACCGGAATAACTTATACCTGCCAGAGGGTGGAACAATAAACTCACGATAAGTTATCGCAGGATAATGCAGTAGAATTGACAATCCCAGGATTAATACAACATATAAAACAATCAATAAAAAATAATACCAGCATAACTAATCTCAACATAACTAATCCCAGTACACTAATTTCATCATAACTAATCTCAGCATAACTTGTCTTCAAACCAAACGACCCCTAATTGTACTAATAAACCAGGTTCCAACTTTCTAGCCCGACTATTTGGCATGTTGCTCCCAACCTTGTTGGTCATCAATGTTGCGGAAGGCAAATGTATATAGTGTGAATAAGTCACAACTACTATACCAAAAATTATGACAGCCACCAAATACTAAATAAGACAATAAAGTAACAATAAAAGGAACACCAGAATTTACGAGGTTCGGTTAATTTTGCCTATTCCTCGGACACAACAAATATTTTATTCCACTCCAAAAATACAAGTGAAATAATANNATGACATCAAGAGGAGGTCTTTACCTCTATAAATAGATGCACTCCTTCACTTGTAGAAATCATCCCAAAATAATACAATACATTGTAGTGAGTAGAGAGTTAAGAGAGAAATTCTCTTAAGTGTAATTGGGAAATCTCCCCTTCCTTTGTTAATATTAAAAAGGGCAATTGTTCTCTGGTGGACGTGGGATTATTTTGATCCGAACCACGTTAAATCTTGTGTTCTTTCTTTTACGTTTCCGCTAACAATTGGTATCGGAGCGACAGGATTCTTTAACGATANATCCCTTGCACCTAACGTGCTTTGTGAAGTGAGTACGGGTACCGAAGAGACGGCCAAACAGTTGTGGGAAAAGTTAGAAGGGTTATACCAAGACCGATCAGTGACAACAAGAATGTTGTTACAACAGCGTCTTCACACATTTAAGA